CTCAGACACAGGGATAATATAACTGCTTCCGTCTTAGGTTTATGAGGATTAATAAACATTTCAGAATAGCGCCCAGAATATGGTCAAGGCTTACTTAGTATGTGTTAGCTCTTTTTTGGTAGACTGGAACTTGTGGGAATCCTCCTGCCTCAGCTGCCTACACTCAGCAACTGTTAAGCTATTAATTGTCAGAAAGGAGCAAGGAGGAAGTGAAGAGAGGTAGGTTATGGGCCAATGAGAGAGGGGCTTCCATGACTGGCCAGGCTATTGACTTCAAGGTTTGGAGTAAGAGCGATGAACCCAGAATGAGGTTACAAGGACTTGAGTCTCAATTGCTGGAGCTTGTAACTTGGAATACTTTCCACACCACCCCTGGGGGTCTGTTTGCTCTCGAGGGCCTCTTCCAAATTCTACACTGTAAAGTGATGCAGAGGGGCTGTGCTGGTGAGCACGGCCATGAGGAGAAAGAAAGGTTATGCCTGCTCGGTGCGTGAAGATGGAGGGAAACACCACAGAAGGTTCCAGAGCTTGAGCTAAAACGAGGAGGTTGGAAAGAGTAGGCCTAGAGGGAAGAGAGGCTATTTCAGTCTGAACACACAGGGAAAAAAAATAACAAAACAAAACAAAAAAGGAGAGTAATACATTCTAGTAGAAATAACTGTCAAGAAGTCGTTAAAATGCAGACCTGCATTCTGGGAACCATTTATAGAGTGCTAACTGGAAGCCGTGAGAATGAATGTCACCGACTCCTCTCCTTGACTCCGAGTGACTTGAGAGCCACAGACCTAGACTATGACCTTGGTGGCCAGAAGAAGTACTGATGTTGCAAGGCAAGGTATTGGGGGAAAAAAAGTCAGGACCAATAGAAATCCAATAGAAGTAGCAATATGTTTGCTCCTCAGGGGCCTGCGGACCAGCACATGGGAGGACTTGAAGGAAACCTTCCCAAGAGGCCCTGATTTCAGGGGTCTGCCAGTGGGAGGTGGGAGCCTTGTCTCTGGGCCTTTGTATTACTTGTAGGCCGTGGCCCTGGCAGAAACCACCCCCCACCCCAGATTCCCCTGGCTACCACTATGTATTTTCTTTTTTTTTTTTTTTTT